TGGGAATGGGGATGCACATGGATGAGATGGGAATTTGGATGGGATGGGAATGGGAATGTGGGTGGACAGGGGATGGGAATGGGAATGTGGGTGGATCTGGGTCTGGAGATGTGGATTCAGAAGGGGATGAGGATGTGGATGGGGTGGGAATGCTGACAGGGATGGGAATGCAGATGTGGGTATGGAAATCAATAGCTGTGAATAGGAACTGGGATGGGAATGCAGATGGGTCTGGGCCTGGAGATGTGGATGCAGATGTGGAGGAGGATGCAGATGTGGAGGAGGATGCAGATGTGGATGGGGATGCAGATGGGGGTGGGGATGCAGATGTGGAGGAGGATGCAGACGTGGATGTGGATGCAGATGTGGATGGGGATGCAGACGTGGATGGGGATGCAGATGTGGATGGGGATGCAGATGTGGATGGGGATGCAGATGTGGGTGGGGATGCAGATGTGGATGGGGATGCAGATGTGGGTGGGGATGCAGATGTGGATGGGGATGCAGACGTGGGTGGGGATGCAGATGTGGGTGGGGATGCAGACGTGGGTGGGGATGCAGATGTGGATGGGGATGCAGATGCGGAATCCCACGTTCAGTCCCTAAGGAGGTCCCCGTCAGAGGCAGGGCTGAGGCTCAGCAGGGGAAGCTCTGGGATCTGCTGGTGAAGCTGCTCCTGAGCAGCTGCAGAGCAAAGAGCACAGCTGGAGGAGGAACTCACTCAAATTGCCATTTCTCTCAGAATTGCCATTTTTCCTAAACCCTTTAGGAGTGGGATTGCTTCCACTCCACTTCATAAACAGGAGCACCTGGGGCCGGGGTGAAAATGCACTGGGAAGCAGAAAATATGTCCTGGGTGAGGCTGTGGGGTGTGCTCCTGCAGATGTGAGGAGCAGCATCCCGTGCTGAAAACCTGGATTCATATTTTTTTCCCAAGAGATAAAGTGGGAAACAGTTTTGTCTTGTGATCAGCAGCAAAGCCAGCACTGATTCCATCAGCAGCAGCATGGAGTGGGGCAAACTGGAATTTTCCTGGTTGTGTGTCACACTCCATCCCACTCCCCCTCGCTGCATCCTGCTGTTGTTTTTCCTGCGCCTTCCCAAGCTCCTTTCCTTTTCTCCTGGCTCCTGGTGAGCCAGGCAGGGGATGTGTTTGCAGAGGTGGATGGAGCTTCCTGAGATCCAAATGTCACATTTCCACTTGGCTGCGTGAGGAGCAAATGGCAGCGTAATTCTATTTGCAGATTTCTACCAAGAGTGGTTAAAAATAGTAATGATGATGATGAAAAAAAGCAGGATTTGTTCTGGATGTCTCCAGCAACCCACGAGCATCACCTCCCTCTGATTCCCAGGGGTCACCAGGGTGGCAAGGTCTGGTGCTGGAGCAGAGTTTTCTCCACAGTGGGAGGAAGAGGAAGGGCAGTGTTGTGCCTCTTAGTCATGGATTTTATTCCCTGTTAATCTTTCGGAGCTGGATCCCAGCCTGGCAGTGATGGATGTGGGAGCAGACTGCTGGCGAGGACTTTGAGGAGGAATTTTGTAGAACTTGCTGATGGCTTGGAATGTGCTGATGAGGGGCTGCTTTTGTGTGTGCTCATGGATATGAGGGAAATGTGGAATAATTTCGGAATAGTTTAGGATCTGACGAGTCCCGTTTGCCCTGACAGCTCCTGCAGCTTCAGTCCCAGGTTCTCAGGTAGCCCTGGTGTCCCTTTGGCAGCAGCACCTTCACAAAGGGTCTGTAAATGTAGGTGGGAACTCCTCAGTTCTGCCCTTTCCGCTGAGGTTGGCTCCTTTCCCCTTGGGAATGACGATTTAACAGCTGTGGAATCCTAGAATCATGGAATCCTTAGGGTTGGAAAAGACCTTTAAAACCATCAAGTCCAACCATCAGGCCACTGGCCCGTGTCCCCAGGTGTCACATCCAGAGGGATTTGAAGCCCCTCCAGGGACGGGGACTCCACCACTGCCTTGGACAACCCTTTCCACGAAGGAATTTTCCCTAATATCCAACTAAACCTCCCCGGGTACATCATTTCCTCCAAACAAGGGCAGGCCAAAGCTTTCTTTTTAATACATTTAAACCCATGGAATTGCTCAGGGATTTCTGTGCATCCCCAATTTCCTGGGACCGGTGGAAGCTTTTCCTCCCTTCTCCTTGCAGGGATGACGTGCCAAGCCAGGACATCCTACACGGAGGACGAGGTGCTCTGGGGCCATCGCTTCTTCCCGGTGATCTCCTTGGAGGAAGGCTTCTTCAAGGTGGATTATTCCCAGTTCCACGCCACGTTCGAGGTGCCCACCCCGCCCTACAGCGTCAAGGAGCAGGAGGAGATGCTCCTCATGTCCTCGCCCCTGATCCCGCCCGCCGTCAGCAACAGCAAGGAGAGGAACAACTCCGTGGAGTGCCTGGATGGGCTCGACGAGGTGGGCACGAAGCTGCCCTCAAAACTGCAGAAAATCACCGGGAGGGACGACTTCCCAAAAAAACTGCTCAGGATGAGCTCCACCACCTCGGAGAAGGCCTACAGCATGGGCGACCTGCCCATGAAACTCCAGCGCATCAGCTCGGTGCCCGGCAACTCCGAGGAGAAACTGGGCTCCAAGACCACGAAGATGATGTCGGATCCCATGAGCCAGTCGGTGGCAGAGCTGCCCCCCAAGCTGCAGAAGCTCTCGGGGGGCGGCGGGAGGATGGAGGGGAACCTCCCGCCCAAACTGCGCAAAATGAATTCCGACCGCTTCACATAACGCGCCGCGCCCGGCGGGATGGCGCGCGGCCGGGACCCCGAGGAGGCAGCGGGGGCTGCGGGGGGCTCGGGGCCGCCCGGGGGCTCGGGGAGCCGGGCTGGGCTCGGGGAGCCGCCGTGGGCTCGGGGAGCCGCCGTGGGCTCGGTGCCGCGGGATCGCGAGCGAGGGCCGCGTCCTCGGCATGTCCCACCCCAGCGCATGCGACAGTAGTGTGCAACCTCCGCGTCCAGTCCGTGGCATGACTCCTCCTGTACTTATACTCTGTATCCCGAAAAACACGCAGAGGGGCCTCCCTGCCCCTGCGTTCCCCAGGGAATGGGGACAACACGGAGTGGGGAACTCGCAGGGTGAGCTGAACTTGAGTCGGAAGCGTTTGGGGTCTTTTTTCCCTCTTGCCGTGGGTCGTGATGTCCTCGCCCAAGTAGTTTGCTGCATGTGGTTTTTTTCCTCCACCGAGGTGTTTTGGTTCACCCTTCACATCAAATCTGCTCGCCTTAAATCCACTGCTGGTTTCTAGTTTGCTTTCAGGTGGTTTTTTTTTTTTTTGGGGTGTTCCCTGTGTCAAAGCCACCAGGAAAAATATCAGGAGGAAAAAATAAAAATCTGTATTTCCTCAGGCTTTGTTTAGAAAAGAAAGTTGTGTTCTTAAGCCTGGGGCAAAGTGATAAATAATGACTCAAGTTCACACTTTAGGTACAATTAGTAACATTTCTATAAAATCTTTGTGGTGTATATGTGGAAGAAAACCGGCAGGACGTGCTTGATTTCTCTGGTTGCTGAAACAGCCAGCCATGAAGAGCCTGTGGGGCCAAGCAGGCTCTTCTGTTGGGAGAACTGCACCCCAAAAGTGGAGCCCCAACTCCCCCAGTCCCTCCGGGCCTGGATTTCCCTGCCAGGCAGAACAGGGTGCTCCCAAGCCTCGTTCCCTCGTTCCCTGCTGCTTTTTGTGGGGAAAACGCTGTTTGACCTCGGGGTCAAACCTGGGGTCACCCTGGGGCTCCGCAGCGAGCCAAGCCTGGGTGGATGTTCAGGTGTTGGGGCTGATCCCTCTGGATTCCTTCGCCCACCTGGGTCAAGGCAGGGCGGGCTCTGGGATGGGGTGGAGCACCTCCCCAAAATCCAAAGGGTTGAGGCGCCCCTGGGCTGTGTTTGGGGTTTTCCCAGAGGCTCCCTGGAGGAGGTTTGGGGTCGGTGGCACCGCCAGGGGTGGGGTGGGAAAGGCACCCCCCAGGAGCAGGGATTCGAGTGCCATCCCATGGGGGAACCCTTGGGGTCACGTCCAGGTGCCCCCAGGTGTGGGCAGAGGAACATTCGTGGATGGGCACCTCTGGCTCCTGGCGCTCCTGCAGCCACGCCAGCATCGCTGGGTAGTCAGTGATGGGTTTGGGGGAGAAAATTGGGATTTTACAGATGGAACGAGGACTTGGGAGCCCCACACTGCTGGATAATCAATGACAGAGCTGATGGGTTTGGGGGAAAAAATGGGGATTTTACAGATGGAACAAGGACTCGGGAGCCCAGCACTGCTGGATAATCAGAGCTGATGGGTTTGAGGGAGAAAATTGGGATTTTACAGATGGAAGGAGGACTCGGGAGCCCAGGACTGCTGGATTATCAATGACAGAGCTGATGGGTTTGGGGGAAAAAATTGGGATTTTACGGATGGAACAAGGACTTGGGAGCCCCACACTGCTGGATAATCAGTGACAGAGCTGATGGGTTTGGGGGAAAAAATTACAGATGGAATGAGGACTTGGAAGCCCAGAACTGCTGGATAATCAATGACAGAGCTGATGGGTTTGGGGGAGAAAATTGGGATTTTGTAGATGGAACAAGGTAGGAGCCCCACACTGCTGGATAATCAGTGACAGAGCTGATAGGTTTGAGGGAGAAAATTGGGATTTTACGGATGGAAGGAGGACTCGGGAGCCCAGCAGTGCTGGAGCTGGCTCAGCCACCAGTGTCCCTGGAAGTGTCAATGTGTGACTGTCACCGTGTCCCCCAGGATGGACAATTCCCAGAGTCCCTTGCCATGTTTTACCCTGATTGTATGCTTTTCTATTCTACACTAATTCTATTGCTTTTCCTTATTCTATTTTGTTTCTTAACTTATTCCTATTCTTATTCCTATTCTTATTCTCATTCTCATTTTCATTGTCAATCTTCCTCTTTATTCTTCCTCTTTATTCTTATTCTTATTCTTATTCTTATTCTTATTCTTATTCTTATTCTTATTCTTATTCTTATTCTTATTCTTATTCTTATTCTCATTCTTCCTCTTAGTCTTCCTTTTACTCTTCCTCTTATTCTTATTTTTCCTTCTATTCTATTCTATTCTATTCTATTCTATTCTATTCTATTCTATTCTATTCTATTCTATTCTATTCTATTCTATTCTTTCCCTTTCCCTTTCACTTTATTCTATTAGTCTCTTAACCCATTACTGTTCTATCCTTTATTCTGTTCTTTATTTTTTATTCTAATTCCATTCTAATTTTGTTCTATTTTTTCTATTTTCTATCCTACTTTATATTATTCTAATATCATACTCTACTTCCTTTTCTTATTCTTGATCTATTTTTATTCTTATTCTCTTCTTAATATATTCTATTTCCTATTCTTTTTCTTGAGCTAGTATTCTAGTCTATATTAACTCTCCTTAATCCTATTCTGATTTAAATTTCTAATTCTATTCTATTATTTTCTCCCTTCCATTCTCAATTTTCTATTCTATTTTCTATTTTCTGTTTTCTCTCTTTTCTCTTTTCCCTATCTTATCCCATTTTATTCCATCGTATTTCCCGACTCTGGCACAGCAGCCCAGGTGCAATTTGGGGTCCCCCAGGGGTTTCTCCACAAAATGGAAAACATTCCAGGGAGAAGAGCTGGAGGTGGGAAAAACCCTCCAAAAACCCCCTGGAGGCGGGACAAAAACTGGAAAAGGAGCCTCGCTTAATCCAATTAATGCCCTAAAAACGTCCAGCTGGGATTGACTGAAAATTCTGATTTTTAAGTGAAAATGTGCCCAAACCCCCCAATATTAAGGGAATTATTGGAGTGGTAAAAACCAGCCTGGGTGCTGGGATTGTTGGATCTGGAATCCATCCCTGCTGGTGCAGAATTCCCGAGGTTTGTGTCCGGGATGGAGGTCCAGGCGCAGCCCCTGTCTGGATTGATTTCTTTTAGGGACTTCGTGTTCATATTTCATTTTTAAGGCGTGCTCCCTTTATTTGCATCCATTAACAAACATCTGAGCCCAGCCCTTGCTTCTGCTCATTAAAAAGAACTGTAATTAGCAATGATTGATTGATTGATTGACTGATTGCACAGCCGGTCTGTGTTCTCTCCTGCTGAATTCCCGCTTGGATTCTCCTGGAAATTGTAAATATTTCAATTCCAATAAAAGAAATAGAAGAAATAAAAGAAATAAAAGCGGTTTTGGGCATGGCGTGTCTCCCTGGATAGAAATTCCGATTTGAGCTCTGCAGTCAAACAAAATCTCCAATTAAGGCTGCACATCTCGCATTATCTCCAGTTTTGGCCCAAACTGGGGCGATTTTCAGGCGTTTTGGGGCATTTGTGGCTGTAATAAAATTACCAAGAATAAACTCCTCAGTTTCCTCCTCTCGCCTTTGGGGCGGGGAACAAATCAAAGGCTCGTTCTCTAAAAAGCAACAAAAAAATAAAAACTGGGCTGGGCTGAGCTGAATTTCGAGGTCTTTAAATGCCTTCGGGAAAGGCTTTTCCCTGTCCAGGGAAAAATGGGAATTTGCACTGGAAAAATGGGAATTTGCACGGGAAAATGAGAAGTTTCACTGAAAAATGGGAATTTCCACAGCCAGCCACAGGAATTAATAAAAATAAAAATAAAAATAAACATTAAATATAAAAATAAAAATAAACATTAAATATAAATATAAACATTAAATATAAACAGTAAATATAAACATTAAGTATAAATATAAACATTAAATATAAACAGTAAATATAAACATTAAGTATAAATATAAATATAAATATAAATATAAATATAAATATAAATATAATTTGTTAATTATAAATGAATAAATAATATAGCAAATAATATAGCATTATCTATAGTAATAATAGTACAATAATATAAAAATTAACAACAAAACAACTATATTAACAATAATAATATATAATTAGGTATATTAGGAAATATAATAAATATATAATATATTATATAATAATTATTAAAATATTTTAAACTCTATAACAAAAAATAAATATATTTTATTTTATATATTTATTACTATAATAATTATATAAAATTATATTATATACTTAATAAAGAAGATATATAGAATAATATATAATGTATAAAATATATAATAAATTTATAATAGACAATATTAATACATGTATAATAAATAATATTAAATTATTAGTAGTAAAAACACTATATATATAATATGTACTATATATTATATGACATTATGTATTTACTATATTAATAAACTATTATTAGTAAAATAGATCAGTAAATGTATATGAAACATAATTAAATATGTAATTAAATATAGATAATATGTAAAATCTAGAATTATATATAATAAACAATATGTAATAGATATATAGAAAAATAAATATATGAGAACGTATTAAAATAGATTAAAATATATTCTAAATATATCATGAAATATATTAATCATGTATAGAATATATAATAAATATATTATATATATAATACAGTGTAATAGTAAATAAATAATGGAAAAATGGGAAAATGGGAACCTGGGAAAATGGGAAAATAATGGGAAAATAATGGGAAAATAATGGGAAAATGGGAACCTGGGAGAATGGGAACCTGAGAAAATGGGAAAATGGGAAAATGGGGAAACGGGAAAAAGGGAAAATGGGAACCTGGGAAAATGATGGGAAAATAATGGGAAAATGGGAACCTGGGAAAATGGGAAAATAATGGGAAACTGGGGAAAAGGGAAAATGGGGAAAAGGGAAAATGGGAACCTGAGAAAATGGGAAAATGGGAACC